TTTTTTTTTTTTTTGTCCCACTGACAAGATGAATTGCAAGAATTTCAGGCAACGCCAAAAAAGGTGATTATTCGAGGAGGATCGCAGAGACCCAAGATGGTTATATTTGATGTAGGATGATTGTATCAGGAAACAACAAACGAAGCAATAAAGGTCATTGATATACAACGAAAGCGTTGTTTTGTTAAACTGGGAAAAAGACAGATTCCCCCCACCCCCTTCCCGTGCCATTCATGGCCCCTGCTCCATTCCCACCCAGCTTTGCTTCTTTCTGGATGGTTTGCAGCTTTAAGCAGCGAGTTCGGAAGGCAGCGCAATTGTTTGGTTGATGAAAAGGCTAGTTTGGGCCCATTGAAAGAAAGGGCTCTGACTCAAAAGGAGAAAAAAAAATTGATGAGTGTCCATCCGCTGCTTCTTGTCCTGCCCTCGGGAGCAGCCTTCCTACACACCTTGGGTGAACCCCCAAATTCAAACCAAGACTGTCTCTGTTTCCTTCCCCTTTCTGAATTTTTCATCCCCCATCTTGAGGAATGGAGAGAGTGCAACTTCCCTGACTTTATTTATGAATTTTCTTTTCTTTTCTTTTGATAAATTTCTAGGGCACCCAACTCACCTACGCAGCCCTGGGCTTTTTGCAACAGCCTAATAAAGCAAATCCAAACAGCCGAATAAAAGCACAGATTAAAAAAAAAAACAGATTTGAAACTGAGATTTCTGGGTGCATTTCTCCCGAACCCCACCCCTGGTCTCCAACTTACAAGGTTGCGGTGAGGTCGGAGTGGAACCTTGCGCGACTCTCTTCCTCTCTGCGGGATTGTGGTCGCCTTGCCACGAAGTGGCTTCCTAAAGAAGCGTTTCGGTGGCCCCTCCCCGGCGGAGCAGCTGCCAATGGTGGAGAGGGCAACCCGGGCGAAGCCATTGGGGCAGGAAGGGCACCGTCCAGGAAGAAAAGTGATGGGGGGGAACACGAGGAGGAGGGAGCAAGCGAGCAATTCTGGTGTCAAGCCCCCCAGCTCTGGTGGGAAACCCCTGGAGGGAGGGGCCACCTGTCAAACTAAGCAGGAAGAAAAAAATGAAGAATGGAATGGAATATGGAATATAGTATAGTATGGTATGGTATGGTATGGTATGGAATGGAATGGAGTAGAATAGAAAATTTGGGATAGAATAGAATAGAAGAGAATTAATAGAATAGAGTAGAGTAGAGTAGAGTAGAGTAGAATAGATAAGAAGAGAAGACAATCAAAAATAGAATAGAATAAAAATAAAAATAGAAGAGAATTAAAAATAGAATAGAATAGAATAGAAATAAAAGTAGAATAGAATAGAAATAAAAGTAGAATAGAAAACAGAATAGAATAGAATAGAATAGAGAATAGAATAGAATAGAATAGAATAGAATAGAATAGAATAGAATAGAATAGAATAGAATAGAATAGAATGGAATGGAGTAGAATAGAAAATTTGGGATAGAATAGAAGACAAGAGAATTAATAGAATAGAATAGAGTAGAGTAGAGTAGAGTAGAGTATAGAGTAGAGTAGAGTAGAAAAGAAGAGAAGAGAAATAAAAATAGAATAGAATAAAAATAAAAATAGAAGAGAATGGAATGGAATATAGAATAGAATAGAATAGAATAGAATAGAATAGAACAAAATAGAATAGAATAGAATAGAATAGAATAGAATAGAATAGAATAGAGTAGAGTAGAGTAGAGTAGAATAGAATAGAATAGAATAGAATATGGAATGGAATATAGAATAGAATAGAATAGAACAGAATAGAACAAAATAGAATAGAATAGAATATACAATAAAACAAAATAGAATAGAATAGAATAGAATAGAATAGAACATACAGTAGAACAAAATAGAATAGAATAGAACAGAATATGGAATGGAATATAGAATAGAATAGAATAGAACAAAATAGAATAGAATAGAATAGAATAGAATAGAATATACAGTAGAACAAAATAGAATAGAATAGAATAGAATAGAACAAAATAGAATAGAATAGAATAGAATATACAGTAGAACAAAATAGAATAGAATAGAATAGAATAGAACAAAATAGAATAGAATAGAATAGAATAGAACAAAATAGAATAGAATAGAATAGAATAGAGTAGAGTAGAGTAGAGTAGAATAGAATAGAATAGAATAGAATATGGAATGGAATATAGAATAGAATAGAATAGAATAGAATAGAACAGAATAGAACAAAATAGAATAGAATAGAATATACAATAAAACAAAATAGAATAGAATAGAATAGAATAGAATAGAATAGAATAGAATAGAATAGAATAGAATAGAACATACAGTAGAACAAAATAGAATAGAATAGAACAGAACATGGAATGGAATATAGAATAGAATAGAACAGAACAAAATAGAATAGAATAGAATAGAATAGAATAGAATATACAATAAAAGAAAAAAGAATAGAATAGAATAGAATATACAGTAGAACAAAATAGAATAGAATAGAATAGAATATACAATAAAACAAAATAGAATAGAATAGAATAGAATAGAATAGAATAGAATAGAATAGAATAGAATATACAGTAGAACAAAATAGAATAGAATAGAATAGAATAGAACTGGATGGGACCTCGGAGGCCTTCTAGTCCAGCCCCTCGCTCAAGCAGGAGAAAAGGCAGACAAAATAAAAATAAACAGCGAATATTCAATACTTGTGGGGAGTGTGCGGAGTGGGGTGGGGGGCAGAGATCTGTAGGCCAGGCCCGGGGGAGTTCCCCTACCCCCACCCCACCCCAGCCGTCTCTGAATGGCCCGGATCGCTTTGCGTTTTCTCAGGAGGCTTTTTGGGGGGAGTCG